GCAGAACAAGCTGGTGCGGTACCGCCAGCCTTATGGCATTGGTTGTGATATCTATTGTCTTCTCTTCGTGCATCTCACCGGAACTACGCATGTGGCGTTTTTCGCGAAGGTCGATTCTAGCCGACTTTATGCTGGCAATTCTAGCCCAAACCCTCTTCATTTGAGGAGCCTCGGCATACAAGCGAATTAGTTTCGCATGAAAGAAAGGTGCCGACCATCTGTGGCGACCAGCGTCGGCGCCATATATTTGGATCATTAGCTTGGGGTCCGAAGGCAGATGAGCCTTGATTTGGATCAAGGTAGATCTAAAGTCTACTGTGACCAACTCCTTGACCCCGAAAGCAAATTCATGATCATCCTGTCCAGGCCACGCGAATCCACCAGGGGAAGTCACAGGCGATAGAAGTGTGGAAGGATCGGATTTCCATGTTGATGCTAATGCACTTGCTGCCTTTTCGGCTTCTGCAACATCAGCACTTGTGCGAACGAAAGCCTTCATAAGCACTGTCAAAGCCACACCGCAAGCATAGTGTCGATATAATGAATATTGTATCAAAACGCTTTTCACGTGTGAGTTGAGATGGAATATCGGTCCTTGATTGTCGCTCGAGGTTGAAAGAGCAACCTCGAATTTAGGAATTGCAACAAATGGCTCTGCTTCCCATTTTTCTCTCGACTCGACGACAAATCCTTCAAAGCCACGAACGTGGACTGCTAATCGCCTACCATCAGTTGGGTGTTGATCACGCTTTTTTCTTGGTGAGGGAGGCATAGTAAGGAATATTTCAGGATCTGGAGTAAGAGAACGACTTCCTGCACGACGACGAATTCTCCGTTCATTCGACTCGACTTTTTGGGCTCTGTATTCGGCCGTCCAAGATTCTAATTGAATTGCAACACCACGTGTGTCATCTGCTATTGATGCATCAATTCCAGCGACTTCAGCGCTGAAATCAGAGCCCTGTAGTTGAAAATGCAACAACCAAGGAGGTAGCGCCCGGATGAAATTTGGGTCTCGAGAAGTTTTAGAATGAGGTTTCTTATCTGGTTCAACGTTGAGCCTGAGCTGACGAACAATTTGGCGAACACCGTCACTAATCTCGGGCCGGACCATATGTACCGAAAATGTTTGAACATTACCCGTAGCGACAACATAAACTTCTGGGTTGGCACTGACCGAGACTTTCAGATCGAGAGTTTCAATTTGAAGCAAGTCAAATCGAGATCCGGAGCAGGTCTGGTAATAGAGGTCCTGGGACTGTAGTCGTAATGTAGATCCAAGACTATAGTGCAATTCTCCCACCGCGGAATGCGAAGACTCTATATCCAGAGAGATGGAGGATATAGAAGATATGATAAGATCGAAATCATCTTCGTCTGCGGTTTCTTCCACAGGAGGCAAAGCAATCCGAAGAACAGGCTCATGCATCGATAATTTGACATTGGCTTTAGGCAACAACCGAGATATTAGTATATGTCTTTCTGGTGTGTTATTTTTCTTAGATTTTGGCTTTGATTTTGTCATGGCTAGAACAAGGGGGAGATGTCTCGGATCAAGATCAATAGAGGGTGATGTAACGACGGCATTAGCGAACAAGATATTTGCGTTTCGCTCATCCGCACTGTTATCCGCAGCAAATTGAACAGTTTTTGATAGAGATGTAGTTCGAATTGTGGTAGTTGCCATTGGAACATAGACTAGTCGGTCGGATTTTCCCCGGCCATCATCAACTCCGATAGAGATAGAAAGGGCAGCAATAAGAGCCTGATGGGCGATATCTTTGGAGGAAAAATACATTCGATGGGCGGGAGACTTTTGATCCAGACGATGAAGATCCACTCCAACTTCCTTCATAGAAGCGTTGAGATACATTGGTGAACCTGAAGGTTGTATTGACGTGATTTTCTTACTGAATCCAATGTAGCTCACTGCAAATTGCACTTCCTTTATACCCCGAAGGATAGAGCTTGCAAACTCTTTAGAATCCGATACCGTCTGGACAAGGTTTTCCTCTTCGCTGCCAGGCCTTTCGAGTTCCCCGACAACGCTTGCCACAGATATCTCCTTGGGTGCAGTTTTTTCGTCCTTGGATTTGCGCGGTTTGCGACAACCCTTATATTTGTCTATACACGTACTTATATCGTCATATGGGATATGGACTCGGCCTAGTTTCAAAGCGATTCCTGCTTCTCGCAGACCATCAAGTTCCTTGTATAGTATTCCATGTATGTTCAATGTAAGGTGATCCAATACCTCCAAAGATTCCCCTCCTTCTGGTGTGAACAGAACGCTGCGGATGGTCAGCATCCATTCTGCTGGACGCTGGTTACTGTTTGCCTTCTTCACATGTGTAAACATCCTTCCACGATCAACTGTTTTCCTCCTGGTATCCACCGCCATTGTAAAACTTCCCAACTGTATGTTACCAACATCAACTATGGTGACCGACGAATTCGAGGCCACGACATCCACCATGCGAATCCAATTTATATTTCGGTGTAAACGTTTAATTCGATTCTTGATGCTCGTAAGTTGCTCCCACATCTTGCTGCGCTGCGGCTTGAAGGAGGTGGCACGCCTAGATAGTGGTTTGATCTCGGACTCGACTTCGCGGCTTGAGCCATCCTTCTTTTCTTCTTCCGCCCCTCCATTCTCCTCAGGAATACGTGTCGATTTGTCTCCATCTAAAACCTTCAGATCCAGAGTAACTGCCAGCTCCGTCAAAACAATACTGAGCCATGTCGGTTGTGCGAACGTAGGTCGATGAATGTTTATTCCCAGACCTCGAATCTCAAGCTTGATACCATCTTTCGGGGTAAATGCGAGTCTCCTCAGGGAGAAGTAACCGATGCGCTGTATTGATATTCCTGTTATAATTCGTATTATGGCGAAAAGTACAAAGGAGGATAGGTATAGGAGGACTATCACCCCAAAGATGAAGGTGGGATTTAACAACGCCATGGCAACTTAAGTGTCAGTCGCAAAGCGCCATTCGCATAGTTTCGGGCCGGCATATAAATAAACAAAACCCTCAGACTTCCTCCAACAAAGATACTTTTGATATTAGCAAGAAAGTAAATTCCATTCGCGCGTTTTCATTGCTGAGAAACTATTGTAAATGAAGTTCTGGGTGGGGAATTTGGGCAAATTGAGCTCAAATGTGTCTAATTGGAATTTCCAGCTCCCGAATATGTCGTCTGAGCAAGCCAACAAATCAACCTTATTGCGTAGGTAAGTAAAGAAAAGAAAGCTACAAAGAGTTTTCAAGTATAGATAGAATGATAAAAAGTTACTGGCTGATGGATTTATTTCCCTTGAGCTATTTTTGTAATAGTTTCCACACTAGTAAAATAGGTATTAGGGAGGTAGTAGGCACATCCGCTTTGCAGCTTACAAAAGGGTACTTGCCCACGGTAGATAGTCGTAGGTACTTTATACTCCGTGATAGACTCTTGACCGTTGACGATTACCTACCTGGTACATACACAGTACATAGGTCGGTCTCCTTTATATCTTGTTTGTGAATTGTGGATGGATGAATGTTCTTAAAGTGGGTTGTCTACTTTTCTAGATGAAATCGTACATTCAATTCATATTGTATACTAGCTACCCCGTACATTTTCACTGGTATCTGTGAATTTATGAACACTCTGTATGCATGCGGCACATAGAAGGCGTACAGAACGCGTATAGAATGCACTTGGATGAATTCCTGCCATTGTTGGTGGATGAAAAGGGATGAAATGATGTAGATAAGATCTAATTCGGCGATAAATGCCCGTTTCTCCGTATGGGCAATTATGGAGACGGATCAGAGAAGAAGGGAATGGCAATCTCGAAGTAATATGGAGGAATATCCAAATATCAATGTGGGACTGACCCAAATTTATTTATTATTTGCAAAAGAAAGGGTTCGTTTCGGCCACAACTTCGCCAGATCCCCCTTGAAATTGATTCCAGAATTTGTTTTGATTACCTGGGCTCCTGGCTTATGTTTCAATCATTCTAAACAAACTGGAGCAACTTAAAATGACGAGATTGCAACTTGGCAGGGGATTTCAAGACTTCTCCTGTCGTATGAAGCAGTTGATCAAAGTACAACGTTGGAGTTTATGTGTAGGTGAAGCATAATAATAAGCATACTGCCGACTCTACTCCTACTAGTAGTACGCCTCGGGGTGGACGAGATAGACGAGACCCCAACAGCACATTCCTTTTTCTAAAATCAATAAATAAGTAACAGACCAATGTTCTGCTTTGAAAACGAAATATATATGTCAGGAAGCCAACAATTGAATGAGATCTCAAGTCTTTCATTCTTGTCATACCATTCACACTTGTCATGAGTAAATGGAATTCTACACCAACCTGCACCTGCCACATGATTATATACGCACTACTATACGCACTACACAGACCAACATACGAATAGCTACACGAGCTAACAACACAATTGATCAGTTGATTGCACTGCTAGATGTATCTATTAGAGTAGCTATTCTTTATCTTAACAAAGTATCTATCCTACAAGAAATCCACAACGGTTCGATCGAGTTTCGTTATCAATCCTGAGGTCACTTAAGTATTTGACGAAGTAGGTAGGTACGACCCCCTTAAGCTCCCCGGTTCTTTTGTTGGTATCGCAATTGCAAACTCCCATCATCTATCTCAACCTTTTACCCCCTTCTCAAATTTTCTATTTAACACTGCCACTCAACATATCTATTCATCGCCAGGGACTAGTAAACCACACCGTGCCCAGAAATCTGTTCACTCATTCCTCCTCACCATCTCTAACCTTTTCATTTCTAAGAACAAACCACAACGTGTCCCGAAATCTGTTCATTCAACTCCTCTCTCCATCTCTGACTCACTCCATTCAAGTTTCTCGCAATGATAAAATGAAGCTTTCTTTTTTTTCCAATTCCAAAAATTGAACATTTCAAACTAGACTTTGAATATCCATACACCACCAGAAATCAAGTCTCAAGTCTCAATCATGAATCGTCGTATCGTTGTATTTTCAGGCGGAAGTGCCGCCAACAGTCTGGTGGATGTTTTTGGGAAAGTTGCCGAAGAAAAGGCCTGTTCTCTGAGTTAGTAAGTGCAGATTTATCTCATGGAACTGTGTATGAGGAAATGACATTAATGATTCTTCAGTGTCATTCCGATTAGTGATAATGGAGGCTCTTCCTCTGAACTTATTCGTGTCTTCGGTGGTCCTGGTATCGGTGATGTGAGAAGTATGTCACTATCTCATATATCTCAGTTCAGATGCTTCTCGACGTGCCTTTAGGACAGGCTGGTTCTCTATCAAACTCTTTCCAAGTCTCTATGAAGACCCTTCATCTAAGTGGGTGCTTTCGGTCACGTGCTATAATACTACCTAGTCTGACTTGAGCTGTCATGCTATCAAGCGGTCGAACTTATGATACTACCAAGTGGTCGAGCTCATGACGATTATAATCATGCGAATCAAAATATCTAAGACAACTCAAACGAAAGATTGACCAATATCTAGGTAGACTAGTCCGACTTATCCCCGAAGATCCCACTGGCACCAATCCCGAAAGATCCGCTCTAAGCACTTTCTTCAACCATCGTCTGGATCCCTCCCCCCAAGAAGCCAAACATGAATGGCTAGCCATAGTCGAAGGCCACTCTCCTTTATGGAGCGACATTACCTCTGCCAAGCGTGAACTAATTCGTTCCTTCCTCAACACCATAAATCTCGAGATTGTCAAGCGAGCTCGTCCCACCTCTGTCTTTAATTTTCAATCAGCTTCTGTTGGCAACTTGTTCTTAACGGGTGCTCGTATCTTTACAGGAAGTTTTGAGGCAGCAATTTACCTTTTATCAAGTATTACCGGTGTGAGAGATAATGTTGAGGTTATCCCAGCAATCAACAGTAATTTTTCATACCATATCTCTGCGGGATTACGAGACGGTAACACCCACCCGCCCAGCCCTCGACGCTCACGTGAAATACACATTATAGCTAATCTCTAATACATTTTTTAGGTACAATAATCGTTGGACAAAACAACATTTCCCACCCCATAGCCCCCACCTTCGTCCCTACGCAACCTGTCTCTCCCGCCACCTTCCACAAGCGTCAATCCATCGACCTTCTATACCACGACCGCATCGAAGACGCCAATCTTCCCGGTTCCCTCCCTACCCTTCGCAAACAAAACATTCTTTTTCAAAAATCCCACACCGAGGAGCTCTCCTCCGCCATCGAGCGAATCTGGTACATCAACCCTTACGGCCAAGAAATTCGTCCTACACCCAATACCAAAGTTCTTTCTGCTCTTCAGGACGCTAGTTGCGTAATTTATAGTATCGGCTCTCTTTATACATCCATTCTCCCTTGCTTGATATTAAGGGATGTAGGACCTGCGATTGCGGATCCGAAGATTAAGTTTAAAGTACTTATTTTGAATGGATGTCTGGATCGCGAGACTCCGGAATATACGGCGAAAGATTTTATCCAGGCGATTGTTCACGGTTGTACTGGGAATGGAAAGGAAGAACATGATCACGAACAAGAACATCATGAAAAAGTAAAAGAACAAGAATGGAAAAAATACATCACGCATGTAGTATATCTAGAAGGCCCAGGTACACCGATAGTAGATAAGGCGGAGCTCAAGAGATTAGGCATTGAAGCTGTGAGGGTCTATGGACGAAGATCGGAATCTGGGAAGGAAGTACAGGGCGTAATATTGAAGAATCCGGTTATTGATGCCGTGAAAAGTGAAGATGTGGGGAATGGAACTGAGAATAAGGCGAGAGAGGATATCGTGGGGATAATAGATAAAGATGATAGTTCGGGAATGAGGTACGATGGAGTTGGGTTAGGACAGGCGTTGAATGCTATTTTGGGAGGCAAACCGGAAAAGTCGAGGAGATATACTTTTATTGGTTGATTGTGAATTGAATGGTTAGTTGATGCTTGGTTTACAATGCTTGGCTGGGAAGTTCTTGTTTGGGGATTCATTGCGGATAGATTGGAGATGGAGTGAGTCTTGTTCCTATACCACGAAATTGTAATTTTAAACCTGGAAATATACATTTACGTTCTCTCATCCACCGAGCATCAAACTATCAAGTACAATCACCAAACTTAATTTACGCAACCAAACTATCACATCAAATAGCCATACCAGATTTTCCCTTTGCCCTCCTTTTTACAACCCAATCCCAAGCACACAAGTACCATCACCATCACCCTCATCCCCCTCCCCATCACTCCCCAACCTCCGGCCCACTCATCGCCTTCTCATCCTCATCCATTTCGGGATCCGGAATCCTCATCCCCCAATTGTACGTCTCGGGATTCAAGCCCGCCTCCAACATTTTCCAATAATTCTCCTCTCCCATCCACATATGACCCAAGCGATCATAATACTTCAAAAGTCCCAAATTCCTCGCAATACCACCAGGAGCATCAATTCTCCGATCCGGAATATTCACACTGGGTCTCTGATCGATCATGGGCGGACCATGGGGGCATCTTTCTGGAACCTGCGGCTGCGAGCGCGGATACTCGTAGTGTTCGTGTTCGGGAAGATCGTCGCCGTTGTAGATTGTATCCTCGGTGTATTCGTACGTGCGCGGCCACTCTGGGGTTAGGGCGCGGGGCGTGGGCGGCCAGGCGAAATCTTCAACTTCGTAGAATTTGGAAAAGTCTTTCTCCCAGCTGGGTTGCGGGGTGCGGAAATGAGGGGGGGCTAGTGTTGCGAGGGCGAAGAGAGGATGGATGGGTGGGTATTTAATTATAGGTGCCCCAGCTTTGTGAGGTGGCTTTTGGCGGTGCAGATCATCTTCCCCTGGTCCGGGATAATCGGGATCGTTGTAAGATTGGTCGCAGTCATGAAAATAGTCGTTGACATAGTGAAAGAGATTTAAGGGACGGGGTCGAGATTCGGGCTTTTCCTTCATGCATTCTTGGACGAGTTCTAATAATTGGTTGCTATATCCTTTAAATCCAGGTCTATTTACTCTGCTTTCGCCCTCCGACAGAGAATATGCGTACGTCCTTGGGTTTTGGTTGGTATACTCTCCAAAGTAATCGTCGCACCAAGCTGGATCTTCGGGATGTATCTCATGTCGAGCAAAGTTTCCTCCGTGCATTAGAAGACGGATAATGTTCGCAAATTGGAATATATTGCTACATGAGCCATGGCGGAATGGATGTACATGCTCTGTGTTGGGGATGAGTTGTTCCTATAGTGAGAATATGAGTATGCTGTAAGAAATACAAAGGAGTTCTTCTAACTCACGGGAGCTTGGTAGCCTGGTCGGCCATTTCTTTGGGTTGGAAAACTATACCTCCCGGCACGTTGTTGATCAAAAAACCGAGGGACCTGGAGCGCGTCCCCGAAATCGCACAGCTGTGAGGATTGTTATTTATCTTTCCCAGAGGCAAATAGAGTAATACACACTTTAAGTACCGGAACACGGTCTTTCTCATGATTCTTGTATCCAATCAAAACTGTATTTGATGTCAGAAAAGCCAATCTTCATATTCTACAAGGGGAACTTACTATTGCTCGGCTGAATATCGTAATGACACATTTCCATCTCCTGTGTATCCCAAATAGACCGCCTCTGACGAGCATTTCTCGGAATCTCACTGCCACACTCCATCATCAGAATCATCCTCATAAACTGCCTGAAGATGATCCATATATCAATCTCTTCAATGAATGTAGTATTATGCTTATCGAAGACATCTAAGTCATAATACCGAGTCTCATCCTCGGGCGTACGAGTGATCACAATACCAGGACAATATTCCAAGAATGAGATTACATTCCGATTGATTGATTCGGTCTCATCTGACGGCACTAATTGGTCACGATAATGCCTCAAAATATTTTCAGGCCGGTCGGGTATGCAGTCGGGATTGTCATAAGGGCGCCAGGCATAGTATCCAGAGAGATATTGGAGAAATCGTCCTTCACTAACGATCCCTTTATAACCTTCCGGATAGCCATTGGGTCGACCTCCTGGAGCAGACCGTCGAAATCGAATCTTGACAACTATATCTTTGGTGTGAGGGGGATTGTTATCTTCGTCTTCCCTGTCTTCATATTTGAAATGCGCAATAATCGCTCTATCAGTTTTGCGGATTCGTCCCTGGAATTCCCACCTGTCTCCCAGACGGGTTTCCCAACTTGGCTCAGTCCTCACAAATTCTCGGATCCCGCCTCTCTTTGTAATTGGATCTTCTACGGCAGCCATGGTGAGAATTTCGTGAATTCTGGAATATATGTGAATTTGCTGGAAGTGGTTTGCTGCCTTTAATTTGAAGGAAGCCAGTATGAAATGTACTGCTTGAAACAAAGGCCACATGAGAATAATTTCTACCTTGAATGAAATCCCGCAACCGGTTGAGATAGTACAAAGCAACTTGCTCGATATAAAAACGATTACCGGATCTGGCTTATCCAAACAAAGGTTTCCAAATCCACATTGTATAAATCGTAAGGTTTGTCTTTTTTTTTGAGCGAACTACGCACGAAGGATAATCATCTTGTTGTAGACATAGTATTCAGGGGTGGAAGTTCAAAATTGAAATTTCCCCATGGTGATGGTAGTATACTGAATGAAAGCCCTCATAGATAAAGTATGTCTTTCAGACATCCTGATATTAAATGTACGAAGGATAGCCGATGAGTTTAGTATAGAGTTGAGGAATGAGTTGAAGTTCACGAAAATTGAATGACTCCCACTTCAGATCAGGGTTAGTGTACTTCATTTCATCGAATGTGACAAGTTTCTTAACAATAATGACAATAACGGAAGGAGCGAAGTTACTTGAGAGACTGAAGCTCAGATTTAACTTTGAAACTTTTCAACATTCAATACCTAAGTATACGTAAGATGACGAGAATTTGACTTCATTAAATGATCTTCATTTCTCTGAGATTTGAGCGCACTAGGAACACTTATATCCTCTGTCTTCAGATTTGTATTGAGCTCGTATGTACATATATCGACTGTCGTTGACTCCTCACAATAGGAACCATGTCAGCGTTCACATGCCACACTAAGAAACCCCTTCATAAGGGTAAATTATGCTACATTTCCTACCCCCTACCTTTTACCTTTTGCTTGTAACATCACATTACCAGATTCCGATTAAACCAAGATGTACAAACAATCAATTCTCATCTCTTCCACCGCACTCGAAGTGCATCGTATAATGTTCTGTGTATCTGCACATTCGCTAAACCACCATGCCTCTACATCAGCGAAATAACAGGCGGGAATTGACCACCATTTGAAGAACTTTAATAATTCGGACATCTTTTTAGTATAACATTAAATGATAGTGATTCAGATAAAGAGAGCTCAAGTTTTCGTTTGCTCTTTTCGGATTTTGATATCTATTTTGAATTGAATCAATAGTACAGTAAATGAGTGCTATTGAGATAGGCTCAAAAAGGTCTATTTCCGCCACCAGTGGGTGTACGAACTGACAGGACAATACAAAAAATTGACTTGTAAATATCTCTTAATACATCAATTCGTTTATCTTGGAAATCGTTACAATTATGCAATTGAAATGGAACAATCAAAATGTGAAATCTGATATCAAACCCACTCACTAGTGCGCCTGTATTTTCGTTTAGATAGAGCACGCTCCACCATTCCACAGCTGTCAAATCAACCAAGTGGAGACACATCATTTCTAAAACATTTACTAGATTTGGGGCTGGATTACCACCAGAACAACAACTGATACAGCCCGTTTGGCTTAGCGGTAAAGCGCATCACTAGTACTTGTACATGATGAGATCCTAGGTTCGATTCCTAGAACGGGCAATCATTCACAAATCCATCCTTTTGCACTTTTGCTCTTGGTTTTGAAGGGGATGGATGATATTGGGTGGTGGGTGGGTGGTAGTAGGATTCAGAACGAACCGACCAAATTTTTAATTTTTAATTACATCCAGACAATGATTATGGGCCATTATTTTGCGGGTTCTTGTGGGGTTGGTTCTCCTTATGTATTTTCGAAATGCCACCCACCAATTCATCATCCATCTATATTATACATACAGTGTATATTCATCGTTCAGTTGATCGTGATAATTTTTACTTTAAAGGTAAATAAGCTACTTACACACTGAGACGTGATAACAAGAATGTCTCCAAGGCTCCGATTGATCACTCTATATCCTTAATTTCTATATAGTTCCCTGCTCTCCTATTATTTCAATACGAGCATCAACAAAGAACTTTGATATCCTGTAAAGCTCAGAAAATCCTAATGTATTATTTATTATCTATGTCCTTAGCTTCTACCCTTCCATCTATCATCCTCAAATTCTTCCTACAGAGAAGTAGACAACCAACCCACTTGACATTCAAATGCCAAAAGGTGCCCAACTACTCAATCCCCCAATCTCCAGAAACTCTTCATATCAACAGCAGATACCAACCTTCCTACCTACCTACCCTAACCCCAAATCTACCTACTAACATCCATCCATCCCACTACCTATTTCTAGCCATGCAAAGCATAACCCAGACCCCTCGTTCCCTCTCAGTAACAGATGGAGACAGATAGACGAGTTTCTTCATTCATTACCTACCTACCTTTACCAATTTCTCCCTGTACTCACTCAGTACACTAACATATCACATCACATCAACGACCACCCAATCTCTGAATCAGATTGATCTTCGAGAGTATAGAGAATAGCAAAAACATATCTACATACACACATACACATTTCACAACACGAGAACACGCCAATTAACAAAATCGCAATAGATACCCAGGTATACACACGTAAAAAGGTGGGGTAATAAATGAACGTTCTCGCTTGATGATAAGGGGGTGAGTATGTATCTATTTATCTATTTATCTATCGTTCGACCTTCAGCTACCTAGGTGCGTGGAACGGGAACGGGTTAGAGAGTCAAAATGTCATTATCATATCAAAGTTAGGAGTGGAGTATGGGGTGATGAACAGGTGTTAGTTTTCGTCGTATCTTTATCGTCTCTTATTGTTTGTTGTATTCTAGAAAAACTTGAGAGTGTGTGTGGTACGTCAATCAGGAAATTCAATCGAGGAAAGATAAAAGTGATATTCTTACAAACGCTGATTTTTACGCATTTCCTTACATCATGCTTTACAGAATAGGGAAGAGAGTGCTACAAGAATCCCGCAAAGTACGTGTACGTTGCTCTCATGAAATCTAAAACCATTCACACTTACACAAAAGAAAGATTGATCTCCTCCCCCTATACACGTGGAAATATGAGAAGGCCGACAGTGAACATCCAGAAAAAAAGAACAACTTGTAAGTTGGCCGGTGGATATAAATTGATACGACTATCCGACATCAGATTATATGGCTCGTGACTATCGATTGAAAGAGTCATAGACATGTTGTCATGTACGCAAACACAAATTCAAGCTCACGGAAAAATGCGAAACCGTTTCACCCTGTTGTCGTCAAAAACAACCGTTATATCATTCACATATAGAGCAACTAAGCCCCTCATCATCTCCTCTATTTCCAACCAAACTGTCTTTTCCGACCCTCCTTGATCTCCATCAATAAGCGTGAATTACAGACGAAGTAAATGAATTTCCATTTCACCCCGCAAGCCCAGGTCATTCCCCTATAAAATGTTGACCGCATCTCCACTCGACATCAGTGAATGCCGTGGCGCAGTCTGCTCATCTGCTTTTCACACCTCCGAAATAACTGATTCACAAGCCACCGTATCTAAACCCGTAATCACACCTCGGTCTCTATAAGAAGGACTTCAGATGGCTTAAAACTCCATGCAACCTCCAACTTCCTTATACCACCAAGACCCCGCAGAACGTTAACTCTCAAGCAAGTTGCTTTCAATAATACTTCTTAGTATCAACAAACAACCCACTGACTTACCTTTCATACCTTTATATCTAACTTCCTCCCACATATCATATATTTGATATCTTATATCAAACACCGCATTTTTGTGACACCAAAACCATGACTCACGGCTCAGACACAATGTCACTTCCTGACAATATCTTCTGCTGCGACTGTTGCACAGAAGTTGACACTCGACACTCCGACAAACCTTATCATGATCCTAACAAGCATTTTCACAAAACTATCTACCAATCATTCCTCAATTTTGCAGCCCGATTATCGGCAACCAAAAATCATCTTGAAATAGTCCGAGCTCATGAAGATGCTGAACGTCAACGCCAGGCTGCTCAAATTTGTGCAGCAGTCATCTCGGACCAGGAAGAAGCGGAGTTTATCCCAACGACGCTGTCGGATATGATCCGAAGTTATAATCCCGATCACAAAACGGCTAATCTAGCCCCACCTGCTTCACTGGCTTCCACCAAATCTCCTACCCCTCCATTAGCATTGAATAGTGCATTCAGGTTACCCTCTTCCCCTCCAATCTCTCCTTGCATCACACCAGCCAGACCAATCTTAGCTCAGAATCGCTCAGGCTTTCGCTCTTTATCAAATAGCAATGCGATATTTGAAACACACCTGATGACACCACCACCTTCACAACCATCTTCAAAGCCCAGCTCCAAGATGTCATCTTTTTCTTCCGGGATTGGACAATCTTTTGTGGAATTGCTTAGAAACAAACCTAATGCTCCCCCACCATCGGGCATCCCAAATCTCGGATCAAGCATCACTGACTCAAAAATCCCTGAGTGGAGATCCCGTGCAACAATGGAAGCCATGCAACCCCTTACGCAGCCCCTTACTCCTCTTGCAATTTCCCGCCTTGGAACATCTCCAAATTCTCCTTGGACATTTGAGCCAACACTCTCTCCAGATTGTAATGGAACGTATGGGTCATTTCAGTGTTCGACAGCCACTGAGATGTCGGAGCCACATCAATCCCTGACTCTCACTAGAAATTTGGGACCAACCCCGTATTCAACTCCTTTCAAACCATTCGCCGACATTTCTTTCGATGATTTCAGAACCGTCCACGTACCGTATTGGACACAAACAGAGCCAGAACCTTTTGTTCCTCAACGAGTTCTTTCTCCATCTAACCTAATTAACAACCCACTCGTTACCAATCCTCCCCCAACATACGTGATTCATATCACTTCTCGTCAAGACTACGGCAAAACTGAATCTCATCGATATTTTGTCTGTCCCACAGACCTAACATCTGACTGGCCGGAAGTCAGTCTGCTTCAATGGTTTGCAGCTGGAGTTGGTTATGACGTCAAGGCCGAGAAATGGGACCATAAATGTTTGCAACATCAAAGATTCTTCCGAATGGTCTTGAGACCCAATTTAGCGATGCGGGAATGGGGTTTGGGTAGACCATTAGAGGAGTTGCAGGCCGAATTGGCAAAGTTGAATGCAGCTGCGGCATTGGGAGGCGTATAGATTTGAGCCATGGTTGTTGTTTGCGTGTATGATTTGTGGGATTCTTGACTGCTACACAAAGTCGCTGGATTTTTCTTTTTGCGGAATATTCGAATCTGACAGATAATTAATGGAAGAACTTGGAAGAGTCAATACGTGGACAATTGAAATGGCATTGCTGGCGATGCTTTTGCGGCTCAGATGAGTCTACCTTGGAGTAGTAGTTATATTGGTCTTCCGTATAGATAGACTTTCCGCTTAGGTGGCTTTGCATACTATCGTATATTCGATGGTGATTGCAAAGATCTTGCGGACTAAAGTCTGGATCTTTGAATTTGAGCGTTCTCTGTTGCGATTGGGCATTTTGAAAAGTAATGCAAAGCGTTGAATCTATTTAAGAGTCTGACTTGATTGTGATGTGATTTCGCAAGGTGTTTCCTCGGAACGTGATATAGCTTCCTTTTTCATGGAGTGATACCTCCATAGTGAATCATTTGGAAATACATAGCATAGCTCGCGAAATGGAAATGGGTCTCGCTACTCACTCGTGGTTGACCCTTCCCAGATAAGGTGAGAGAGTTAACAAGAGATGTTGAATTGCTCAAATAGAACTTCAGACAAACCAGAGCTCCTACTAGTAATCAATGAATCGTTCCTTGTTCGATAGCACTTACTATAGTCAACATACGTAATAACATATCCTCACTACTCACCCACTCACTCTATTCTCATCTTTTCATTTACAATAATGTGGACATCTAATAAATAACAACTGCTCATCTTTCCTTTGAAGTTACGAAATCAAAATAAAGAGCCGAGCTTTACCCTGGAGATAAGCTAAAAGCTAGCAAGCTGCAGCTCCGAACCTCGGTATTATCGCGTAACATCTACTCCCGACCTTGCACCTTATCCATGTTCATAGGTATCCATCTACCCAAGTAAACAAAAACTTGAATTACCTTTATTTTTCGTCTCTCTTCTTACATCTCTCCAAACTTGCACACATATCTTTTGTATACATCAAACATATATATCTACATCTACAACAACCAGCATGTCCGAAATCAGCGGGATACCACCCGCCGAAACCTCCCCCGCATCTGCTCTCCCTCTCCCCATCCCCACACCATCTCCCCCACAGATTCCCACACCACAAGCACTGCAAAGCTGGCTTCCCTTATACCTCTCCAAAACCGACAGCGTGCTCACCCACCTCTCCAAACTCCTGAGTACCCCCTCCGGAACCGATGTTCTCCTCTGCACTATCGGCTACAGTTCCCTCCTAACCTCCAACCTTCTTTCCCGTCTCTCCCTCCATCAAATCCGCCAAGCCGCTCGTCTTCTGATCGAAAAAGCCATTGCGCTTCCTCCTAATACTACCATCGTGCTCTCACCTTCTAACATTCCCGTACCCAGTTCTCGATTATTGTTATTAGCGACTCGATTCAAGGCATTGAGTGCATTGATATCCGATTTCAGGACATTTGGACGTCTTTGGGGACTCCTCGCAATTTACAAATGGGCAAAAGCGACGTGGAACAGTCCGCCTGAAGATACATTGATCAGAAAGATCGTACAAATCCAAGTACTTGCGAATCTCTGCTACCAAGTTCTGGAAAACGGCGCATATCTCAGTTCCAAAAACATACTTTCCTGGGATAAAACTAAACAGGCGAAAGCGGGAATCTGGAGTGTGAGATGTTGGATGGTACATGTGGGGCTTGATATTGTGAAGTTGGGCATCGAGTATGGAAGAAGAGATAAGGAGATGGCGGAGGTGAAAGGAGAGAAAGAGAAGGAACATAGAGAGTGGATGGAGAGGTGGAGGAAGAGTTTAATCGTTAATTTGGCTTATGCACCTTTGACTGTGCATTGGAGCTTGGAAGGTGGGTTGGTGACGGAATTCTGGGTTGGATTATTAGGAACTGTGGCAGGAGGAACGAGCTTGAGATACTTGTGGAGAAATACTGCATAGTAAAGTTGTGGAGGGGGTGGAGGAAGAGTAGAATAGGACGATGCTCAAATTGGGAAAATAATTAAAGAACACGGCCATGACAACGTCAAAAGCAAGAATGGGGATGAAGACGATAATTTGGAAAACAAGTGCTTACTTACATCCAATGTACTGTGTGTACTTTGTATACAAACATCCATCCATTACATACCACAAGCCTCTCGAAGTCATACACACAAAGCATACCCACCAGCGCCCTAACAAACTTCCAACCCACGCACCAAATAAACCTCATCTCCAATCCCTCATCCCCCTACCCTTCAATTCCCCAACCATCCTCCATCCTCCACCAAAACTCCCTCACATTACCATCCTCTATTCTGCATCTTCCCGAGCTGCATTGCTGGTAGACCTCGCTCTCTCTTATTGATTGGTAACCCAATCTTACAACGATATCATATTATATCATACCACTTCATCACCGCTTCATCATCTCACTAATTGATACCTGCCTCCCAAGATGTCGTTTTACGGATACGAATTTGTGAATAGGTATCGGTATAGGTATGAATAGAAAGGAAGAAACAAGAGCAAAATCGGTACAAAAAGGCGACCTGCATAGTTCCACCACAGCATCATGTATATAGCAAACATACCTTACATTTGCAATACCCATACCAATATCAATACCAATCACAACCAATCACACCCAATACCAATAACAACAAACAACAACAAAAGTCACACAACCAATAACTATCTCCGTATATCTAGGTAGCTGGTAAAAAGTATGTGTTGGCAGCGTATTGCATAGTGCGTGTGCCGGATGGGAGGGAGGAAGCGTGTGGTTATATGTGCGATATATATTGTATCGTGTCAAGAAGATAGGTATGGAATCATATTGCATTCTGCGTACGTACCTGTGCTATAATGAATTCTGGAAATCTATCCATCCATCAGTAATTATTCATTACGAATAACTACCCAATAAGAATGAAAATGAAAATGAAGTTTAATAGCGAGCTCGCTTATTAGTATGTTTGACAGTATGGAGATCTCAGATATCTATGTAAGATCTTACTTGTGTAGTATTTGATATATGTCGTGTGAGCCTAGCTGAAGAGCTAAATTCATAGAAAGAGCGGAAGACGAGGAAGATGAAGATGAAGAGAAGGGGAGATGGTTGTCATTTTTATATGGTTTGTGTATGTGTACGTACGATATACACATACATGCAGCATCCCCATTTCCCTCCTTCAAGAAAACAGCATCTAGCACTAATAAGAAAACAACAAAACCGTTTCTCGATTTTCGATTACAATCATCTCTCTCTCTCTCTCTCGCAAAATGGAAAAGAAAATGAGACAATAGAAAGGATCCAATTTCAGAGCGGTGGGTACTCCGTCTCCGTCTCCGGCTCCAGTTTGTGAGATGAGGAGTGTATGGATGGCTAGATGCCAGATCCCGTCGGTATGATATAGTATAGCTCACCGAGGTAAGACAGACGGATGCGGATTGAGATTCGATTCTGAGGGTGTGGCTAATGAATATATTTGGTGAGGTGCGTGAATACTGAATGGTAGGAATAAGGAATAGATGGATAAATGGATTGGGTGGAAGAAATAGAAAGATGAGAAGATGGGAATGAGAATGGGAGGGTCTTACTTACTTACTTACTCACTCACTTACTCACTTATTTACTCACTCACTTACTTCTTTACTCACCTACTTACTACCTCGTTCCTATATCTCTATCTCTATCTCTATCTCTCTTTGAGTTTAAATTGTGCAAATCGAGAACGGGGATATACATGATGATACCCACCCACCTCCCTACGTAACTGTAACAACGCAGCAAGAATTGGAAGAAGACATGTTGAATGCGATTAGAGTATCTATGCCAAGTAGATGGATAGGACTCAGACAATACCAATCAGTCCCGATAGCACTCGCAATGCATAAACCTGATAATAGACCTAGTAATAGTATAAAATATCCACAACAAATAAGGTATTCACTCACACCAGCCAGTCCTCTTCTACTTCTACTTCTTCTACTCCTCCCATCTCAATAACAACAACAATCCATAATCCCAAGACTCAGAAGAAAACACCCACCCGACCATATATGCCCCCAGCACAACAGCAACAGCAACAGCAACAGCAACAGAAACCCAGTATCAAGGAACTCCAATACAAATACAAAGATCTAAACACAATACACTGAATAACACAACACAACATAACATAACATACTAGCATACAATTAAAACACTATCAACTATACTATACTATACTATACTAACTACGTATTTGACTGACTGACTGCTCACAGAACATCATATTCTTACCCTTCCTTCATTCCGATCCATTGTTTTATTTCACTCTGATGGATAAAGCAGAAGTGAAATCACCAAATTTTCCAGTCTGTCCTATTCGATTATCACTTGAAGATTTTCCTCTTATTTCTCCTCCTCTCCTCTCCACATCTCCACCTCATCATTGCACTCTTCCACTCCGCCAAGAATTCCCTGCCTAACAACCCATCCCATCCATCCCCTAAATAATCCTATACCCCTCCCCATCCGCCTTCTTCCTCAACCCCAACAACTCCAACAACCCCGTATGAATCTCCGGATGATCCTCCACACACCGAATATACATCGCAAACCCCTGCAACTCCTCCCACAACCCCCACCCCTTGATGTATTTCTTCAACCACTCCCTCAACCCCTCATCCACTTTCGAGCTCATCATAATCGTCACCACGATGCCCGTCAGGGTACTCCCACTCACAATATTATCCGAACACTGTTTCTTCAACTGCGTGAGCGATTTCTCCATCACGCTCTTGATACCCAGAGACGAAGAAAGAACATTAAGTGTAACGAGATCGTGGGCCGAAGCGGAAGAGAGAATTTTTTCTTCGTTGATGCAGGAGAAGAGGGAATCGAGAACGGTATTTGGGATTTCATCTTCCTTTTTCTTTTCCATCATTTTCACAAGCGAATCTTCGAATTTTCCTTGATCCACCAGAAAGGATTTGCGACACGAATATGTTTTGCCGCGAATAACAATGTCTTTGGTTGGAAATCCATATTCTTTCTTGTTACTCCCTCCACTGCCTCCGCCACCACCTCCGCCTCCCGAACTAGATTTTTCTTTACTCCCACCACCGGAAGAAGACGATACAGATTCCTTCTGTCCTCCGCCCCCGGAGCAACAATGATTATGCAAATCCATGGCATGTGAATGTCCACGATTATCATGATGACATCCCACAGCCAACGGCGCAAGGGGCAAACGCAGAACTTCGCATTCGTGACAAGGACATGTATAAGGTTCCTGCGTACACCCCCCTACCACCCCATCTCTCCACGGATCCCTAAACATAGCCGACGGATCTACAACCTGTACCTGCGGTGCGTGTCGCATGCGCGGATCCATTAGTGGATGACCGTGTACGTGTGGAATTCCATGGTAGGAAATATCCACACTTCCTCTTCTCATCGGCATGACCATGTTCATATTCATGTTCATATCGTTGTAATTTCTTCCAACGCCACCTCCACGAGCAAGTGCTCCGTGTCCGGCCCGGGTACCGAACACAGGGACGGGTATCATAGCGCCGCCTCCAAGAGCATTATAGCCATTATCGAAAGAATTTCGTAGGAGAGGTCCGTGATGGACATTTCCCCGGGCACCACCGGGATATCGATCAGATGGCGAGAGGACGCGTGCTCGTGGGGGAACGTATGGAGATAAAGGTATCAATGCTGACATTGCCCAGAGTTGTGTTGAAACTGAGTGGGCTGACTTGCGAGTTTTGTGAGTAAAGCGAGCCAAGACCAGTGAGTAGTAAGTATTGGGCGGGTAGTGTATAGAATGAGAGTTGTAAAGAGTAAAAGACGGTGGCGGAGAACAAAGCGTGCGTTTGTTAAAAGTTCAAGCAAACTCCAATGTATTCGTTCAAAGCTGCAAACTAAAATGATGTAAGAAGTAACGTATGTACCAAAAAAAATTGAGATACAGAGAACCGCTTCGACTTTATCCTTATCCTTTCCCCCTCCATAGCTTTGCCCCTCAATGATATCGTAGAACACCCGTTATTGTAATCATATGTTGTGTGTGGGTGTTAACGACGAATGACAAGAATATGACTTACCTTTCCGTCTTCATGTCATGTAGCAATCGCATCCCACAAAGACGACGTGTTAAATAACAGGTTGCCTTCGGCAGATTGCTTTTCCCAATCCACCCAAGTATTACCTAGCATTCACATTCAGATGGAAGAGATTGACAAGCAAACGCCCATTCATTTCTACTTATAACCAATGAAATCGTAAAAACTATACAACAGGTGAGGTGAGGCTTTTTACGTGGTATTGTACCCCCCGAGAAAGAAGCAAGCAAGGCCTCGCATGGACCACAAGGATATCTGCAAGCGGTCGCCACCCATAACCAGTAAATCTGACCTCGTGCCAAATTGAGATCCGTGAACCGAAAATACATTATGATAAGGAAAAATTTGCGACAATAAGCACAGCCGAATTTGGTTCATGCTGTGCTATTTCATCTTAATGACCCCCTTCCCCTTCGTTCCTTCGTAAAATTAGTAGTCGCGTTTCTGTCCTGGTCCTCCCATTTCTCTTCCTGGTCCACTATGTGGGCCAGGGTAGTCGTCGGGTCTTCCTCCTCTAGTCTCATCGTAGTGTCTCTTGCGAAGAGCTGCGAGACGCTTCTTCTTTGTGGTCGCATTCACATAGGTTCCGATAGTGAAAGCAATGACGTTGAAGAATGGAACCCAAGTGTGCTCGGGAAGGAATTTCTGTGCGAAAGCTAGAGCGAGAGGAGAAGTAATCCAGCTGACTCTCATGACTGGCATGAATCCAGCTCTCCAAGTCGCATGTACTTGATGAATAGTCTTTGCGCCTGCAATAAGTGCCATTGAGATCAAATACACTGTATTTTGAATTGGAGCAACCTTTATTAATCAATCGTTAGCTTTGTTTACATAATGAACAAACGAGCTGAACCTACCACTAAATTGCTCAAAAGAATTTGAAGAACCTTGGCCTTCAAACTCGTACGTCCAGCAAATATCTTTTGCAAAATACTGATCAATACATGACCTAATGGAGCACTGATGAAAGCACCGTATGCAGCCATTTTGGGTACTCTAGATGTGAAATAGTGGCCATCCTTATTACGATCCTTCGCGATCCATGAGGCCAAAAGTTCTTGTAGAGCCGATAATGTGCCAGAGGTAAGCATTTTCGTACGAAGAGGATTGGTTTGTAGCTCTTTGAGATACATCTATTGAGAAGATAACATGATTAGTGACAGAACGATTTGATTGCGCGATGGGTGGTTTCCCAAGATCAATGGCTCACAGATAAATATCCTCGTGTTCCTTCATTGGCTTTGCCTCCAGTTAATGCGACACCAACATTGTGTCTTAAGTTATGGCCTGGTAGATGGTGATGATGATGAACTTCTTTAACATCGATCGCTGGAACGCCTTGTATTCCTGCAAGAGGACCGGTGGTTTTTATGGTATCTTTCTCGAATTTGACCGACATTGTGGTGGGTGAGAGGTCATTCAAACCCTCGGAAGCTATTTAATTGAACAATTAATTAGTATAAAAGCTTGTGAACATTCGTGAATGCGACTTGTTTGATCAAGACGGTAATATCGGGAAGTTGAAGAAATGAGGAGAAGAAGAAACAAGCTCTCTCTCTCTCACTCGCTCACGCTCGTTGTTTATGATGCGGAGCCGAGGTGAGCTAAGGTAACAGTTGAGAGTTCTGGATCGAGGCGCAGACAGGGCCCCCTCTTCTTCTCTCAAGGACTAATTGCGCAAGAGGATGGATAGATGGATAGATGGATAGATAGGATTTATCAAAGTTCTCTAAATATCTCTCTGTGCCTATTGTTTGGGAAATAATGCGGGGTGTGGATTAAAGTGAACTGACCTTTTTGTCGGGGGGATATTATTTATTATTGATGTACAAGTAATTGATGTAAAATTTGTTGACACGATGTTTATTCTCTTGCACAACCAATTGAGATTTGTTGACCCAAAAGGTTTTAGTCGTTGGAGGCTGGGCTGGGTGAGAAAGAGGAGAGAGGAGGGATTTTTGGTGCAGGAAAAAAGCAGCTAGGTAGCTTTCCAGGTCAAGAAAAGGCTTTTTCGGGTCGGATATCAGCAGGGTGTAGGGTAGGTAGGTAGGTGAGGTGGTAGGAAGGATGGATGGATTGGTTGGTCGGTTGGTCGGTTGGCAGGTAGATATGTAATATCATATATGTATTAATTGTGATGGAATATCATTGACTCGATTTGAGTTTGAAGCATGAATAATACCTAGCACGGAGTAGGTAGTACTAGGTGACCTCAAGTCAGTGTGAGTGAGTACTGATGAAATTGGCATCAATCAATATGGGTTGATTTTTGAATTTGAATTTGAATCCGGATCTGAATTGCACTTTGATTGGGATGGGACGGGAATGGGATGGGATAGGATAGGATAGGATAGGATGGGATGGGATGGGATGGGATGGGAAGTGCGGAGATTGATCTAAACTATTTAGCGGGTTAACAAGGATTTGGTCTGGCTGGAAAAAGTTATCTAGTTCTCACCGAATAGAGAGTATGCAAGGTGCAAGATGCAAGGCGCAAGATACAAGAGACAGGATGTGAGATGTAAAGAAACAAAGATGGAGTAACGTTGTCGAGTCGAGATAAGAAAAGGTAATAAAGCGTTGATTGATAAGGGTCGAGGTGAATGAGTGAATGAATGCGTGATGATGATGATGATGATGATAATGATGATAACGACGATAATGACGATAGTGCTTCTCTTCTCTCTTTCCCTTCTCTCTCTTCTGTTTCGGTTTCGCTTCGAAATTCGGATCGACTTCACTTCCAACACCCTTCCAACACCACTCAACCTATTTAATACCCCCAAAAACGATAATGAAGACGGATGTGGATGTGGATATCGAATTAGGAATGATAAATTATAATAATGTTTGATGAGAAAATGAAAGTTAAAACCCTTTTGCCGCCCGCATTGTCCTTCTCTGGGAATTAATATTAAAGATACGAAGGGGTCATGTTTTGAGTAGACGGTCCGAGGTACACTCTGATGGTATTTAAGGGTATTCAAGGTACCAGATTTCCACGTACGTGCTAAGAGAGATGCTCCGTAGGGTAAGCATTGTGCCTTCTTTTAATTAGTTGTCGTTTTCCGTCTCCATATAACGTTATGTTAGAGTGTCGCTAGGTATTCGGATTTGATTCATATCATATCATATCATATCATATCATTTCATTTCATTTCAGTCATCCACATCATCCATCAAACTCTCATCACCTCATACGGCATATCCCCTTCTCCTCTCTCTCCACTGTTGCTTCCTATCATCTTTGCTCCTCTCCCTTCTCCACCCACTCCCACTCTCTCGAAATGGACAAATAACGATCATTCCGCTCCCAATTGACATCTACTCACAGAGATCTACCCCAGGTTCGTGCATTGGCCAGCTCAAGCTCAAAAAAATTCACTGGTGCATCTCCATATAAAAGCATACTCGCTCATGAAGTCTAGAATTTTATGAATGATGGGATGGTCAAATGAGAGACATGTGTGGGACTTGGATGAAAAAAATTGTCCAAGTTTTAAGACATCGCAGTTGAAATTTCTGCAACTTGGAACTGATAAAGCACTCCAAAACCCATAAAGCATTATAGCTTCATGCTAATGGAATCATACATTGATCCATCCAGTGTATTCGTCCTGTCATCATGTATGATTACGTGTTGTGAGATACAGTGCCGTATGCTCGAGTTTTTATCCTTGAAGCATGGCAATTTATCTATGCGGACACTCGTCCAGATCTTTCAACCGTTCCTTGAATTCTGCGTTGCATTGTGCAGCATAAATCAGAAATTTCATAAAGTATTCATCGATGGAACTCGATTATTCTTATATAAGAATAATTGCAACTCGCAAAATGACTCCCCCGGTGCGCTCTTTGAGTGCATATGTCAAAGCTGCATCGGGATTCAGAGCAGGTTCAAGGAGCATTGTTCCAGCTGTCATTTCAAAAGAAGATCGGTACAAGCTTGCATTGCATGTTGGAACCCCCTGAGAGATGGCATTTCAGAAACTTATCTCTCCATAATCGCATCAAATACATACTTACAAAGTGTTAATGATAATTTTGCGAGTAGGATTGAATGCTGGAATTGAACGGGGAAAGTGTACCAAGTAAGTGACTGCCTCAAGTAAGTACTACTAGGTAGGTACCTGTCGAGGTTGGATGAGAGAACAGAAGAGAGAGGACAGAGGATAAAAGAGAGAGGACAGAGGATAAAAAGAGTGGCAATTCATTTTCTATCCTTCCTCCCTAGGATGAGAATCATCAAGACCAATTTTCAGATTGATTGATGTTTTGATCAGACCACTTGCGAGAATGGCAGGAACGATTGTCTCCCACACAGCTGGTTATGAGGGTAAAAAGTATCAAAGATGGCATGTATTGAATGCGACACTTTCCTTTTTCAAACTTCGACGAGCTGAACAGAGCCACCTGGGCATCCAATAATAGCAATGATATGGATGGTTGGTTTCATCTCAACCCAATTCGCGTGGGAAGATAAATCGTTGAAGCTATAATTCACTTTTCACTTTTCATTTTTGCTATCTTCCTGTCTGTGTGCCTATTGGTTATAATTTCTTCAAGAAAATTTGGGCAAATACACATAATTTGATTCTCGAAGCGAGTCGGAATTCGTCTTGATCTGGAGAAAAAAATATGAAAATACTTTCACAACATATCAATAAATTCATTTAATCAACCTCGAATTTGATTTCTTTGTTTTCACTCTCAGAGGTTCATTCAATCAAACAACTCTCATTTCAAAGGTTTCCAAGTTCTGTTAGTGAATCGTTCTCTCATTTCAATTTAAAACTTCTCAAAGTGTTTGTTGGAGCTTCTTGATTCTCCCAATACAATCATGGCAGCAACCAAATCAACAACAAATACTACAACCCGTTCATCGAAGTTACCAGTACGACGTACGTCAGCATCTACAGCCAGTATTATATCCTCAATGACTACTGCAATGCCTACCAATACAAATCGACATTCTTTGCCTGCTTTGGTAGAAAGTACCAGGCGCACTGCACAAGTTACAAGAAATGTACAATGTACGCATTTGACTACCACACGACTCTTCACAAAAGAGTTTCGATGTGGGATTTGTTTTCGAGAAGGTTCTTTTGGATGGGTTTGGAGATGTACCCAGGATCGCGAACTTATGTTAGAGGATGATATAGATCATGGACACGCAGTAAGTTTCACCGAAACATCACCTTATCTGTCTAGGATTATTCATTGACCTTGGGAAAGAGTCAAGAGAAACTCGATGATCTTTGTGATATTTTCCCAAGACCAACTTCTCCTCGACCACGTGGACCAGAGGCACGTAGATCAAGATTCAGTTTCCTCGATGAAATCAGCAGCAAAGACCTGAAAGCATATTCACCCTCACAAATCCAGACAATCCTCCAACAACGTAGTCATGTAAGTCCTCGACAACCTCTCATTCTTCGAAAGCTTTCTAACATTCATAATCAGCTTCACGATGTACTTGCCAATTCTGAGGAGCCTGACCTTACACCATCGAACTCGTCCAGTAATATCCCACGGTTTTTGTTCAATCCTTTCTCTCGTCCATTTCCAACCACCTCTCAAACAGTCCCAAATTTGAGAATTACTAATCCACGCCCATGGTTGCCATCAAGAGGTACAGAGTGTCAATTCAAATGCTGCCATACCTGCCGACCCACACTCCTTGATCGCAGCTATCTTAGTCTCAATGCTATTGCAGATGATGACTTACCCTGTACCGCCACCACTGGATTTGGATTCAACTTACAAAAGTTTAGACCAGTGGGCAATGTTGATATCGTTAAAAATTTGGGATTGAGACCAAATCCAGTTCCTGCTGCATGTTCTCCTTTCGAACACTCAAGTTTTTGACACACAAGAATAAAAGTTAACTTGATACAGGAACCGAATCGGCCACGATCCCGAAACTTGCGATCTCAACGACGAGCAACTGATCTTGGCCTTGGTGTCTTGACTGATCGATCGACTACCACATTCAACTCCAACAACATGAACACCAATTCTCCACCTCCTCCAACAAACTCCTGTAACTCAGTACCTCAAGTTCCTACGCCTTACAATCGATCAGGTTTCTTCTCCGAGCCCCCTTCCTCTACCACCGGATCATTTCCATCCTCTTCTTCCAACAGTACCTCAACATCTGATGAATCCAGCTCTTATCCTTTCCCTCACGTTGGGATCTCAGCCCCTGCCTACCACTCAAACAATAATACCAATCCATTCAGAACAATGGGTTCCAACATCATTCAAAACCATGCAGTGCTCATTCCTCTTCCTCCACAAAATCCATCCGAAGTCTCACTTCTAGCTACACCTACTACACCCACTTTGATGGAAGCAACCGAGTCCGATGGTCACTTCTTTGGCGCGGAACCATTGGAGGTAGAGGATGGAGTTGCAGTTATGGAGGAGGGTGTTGGTTTACATGTTCCAGATGTTTTGATTACACAATACTAAAACAGAGATCTGAAGGAGTAAATTCCAGGCAATAATGGTGGAAGTGGTAATGTAGCTGGATGGACAACGAAAATAGGGATTTTGGTTTGGGGTTTCTACAGTACGGACAATACGAATAACACGAACGCGAACAAAATAAAAGATGATTGGCTATGGTATGGGCTCCATTGCACTGATTTGCAATTGTATCATCAAAAAGCGTATTGGATTTCTGTTATGAAATTGGGTTTTGCTGTAAGGAATAGATTGCGACAACGATGAACGGTACAAAGACTTTTATGGAGTATAATTTGAGGGACTGGATCCTTACACTACAAGACGAATTTGACATGACATGATACGAAGGGAAGTGTTACAAGAACGATAACACGAAGGATATAAATGAAACTCGCACAGGGTATAATGATGGGGTGGATAGGAGGGGTATAGCTAAGAATATCGCAGGGAGCAATCAAGATCCTAGATATAATCACAATCGATATAGTGCAAGCAGAAGTGGCATCTGGTTTGGGTATGTACATATCACAGGTCTACATGCACGTTTAGATTTCAACAGTACCTACCTATGCAATTTCAAACCTCTACAATTGGTTAGCTAGCTAGCTCATTACACAGGTAGATAGATAAATAGATTGTCATCTCGTCTATTAGATAGCTGAAATAGAAGAAATTTCACCAAGGAAAATCTGAGATATGCATGTATTGTTAATTGAGTATTTGGGATTTAGAATTTGGGATTTGGCAGGTAGGTTGGTATTATATGTGTGATATGAGTCTACTAGGTAGGTCGGTATATGAAACCCAATATAATTACCTACTTGATAAGTATTCTTTACTACCCCCTCTTCCCCCCCCTCACTAATTGTTCATATCTCTTCCTCTTCCTCTCCTCTTCCCTCTTCCCTCTTCCCTCTTTCCCCATACTTCTCCATCTCCATCTCCATCTCCATCTTCTCATCCAAATCCATACCCCCATTTCCCACTCTCTCTCATACTTCCTCATACATATATAGACACATTTTCTCTCATATATATATATACACCCCCACTCCTCTTCTCATTCTCCTCCCTCCCTCCCTCTCCTCGCCTATCCCCTTCTTCCCCTTCCACCATGCTATCCTACCACTTTCTCCTGTCCACCATTTCTACCCTCACATCAAAAACAAACCCACATAAAGATAACCAGCCCGTAAATCATTAAATAAGTAAATAAGTAAATAAGTAAACAAGTAAACAAGTATACCCACACACATATCTACACACACACATCCACAAGCAAAAGCAAAAGCACAGAAAGTAATAAAAATAAATATGCATATCGATTCCGATTAACATTTACATCTCATCATAAGTTTCGTTTCGTGTCGTTATTATATCAGTCTGGGACGTTCTGTACTTTCGTCCCAAGCCCGCTCCCATTTCCGCTCCCAACGCCTTGATCAGGTACCAACCACACTCTCTCTTCCTCTGCATCCATTGCCGATATCCATACTCCCACTCCTATCCCCGCTCGCAAGCACGTTTGCTCACATCTACCAGCTTATGTACAATTCCTAACGCTGGAACTAGGAATTCTTTCTCGCATCTTCTCTTCCATTTCATCTTCATCCCGTAGAAGGGCATGAAAGATCTATCATCCCGCAACTCAAGCACCCACGCCTCCCTTCCTCCTCGCCAATAAACTCTTACACGCTCCCAACACATTAACCAACGCCCCCTCGCTTCCCGCACAGAACTTAAAACTCTTCTCCTCCCCAATCACTTGAAAACAGTATCGTTTCGTCCTACTCAACGGATCGATCTCCACCACATTAATTACATTTTCCATGGGTAAAATCATGACGGGCGAGTATTCCGAGTCATTTTTGTAGAACGACAATGAGCGCGGCCGAAGCACAACCCAGAGATTTTTCCAAGAGCGAATCCCATTTTTCGAGCGCAGATAGAGGAGGTATCCTTGGTATACTACACGTTCGGGGTCGTGTTCGGGGAGGGGATTAGGGTGCGAGAGGGATAACTGCGATGTATTGCGACCGAGGGGGAGAGTGGTCGCGGGAGGTTTAACTTCGAGATCAGGATTGGGATTGGGATTCGGAGGAGGATTGTGCAGAGTGAGAGAAAGCGTCGACATTCCGGGGACACGCGCCAGATCAGTATCTGAGAATTCGGCGTCGGAGACGAGTTCGTTGCCGGAATATTCAATGGTGTTGGAGGGACGTCTTCCTCCTCCCATGGCCGACATGTTTTGTTTCTTGCTCGCGCGGGGGATGATGGGTTCTGTGGGTTCCGGGGAACTACTTCCTAGTCTTTCGTCGTGCAGGATTTGGGCTTCGGTTCTGCGTTGGAGTTGTTCGTGCGCCATGCTTTGATCGAAGCCCGGGTAGGTACTATTTACGTTACCGGACGGACTGGCGAGTAACATTTCTTCCTCTTCTTCTTCGTCGATTCGTGCTTCTTTGCGGATGAGATCGACCCATTGTTCGGCGTCGCCTTTGGTGGTGGCTTCCAGATGATAGTTGCGAGCGGGAGTGAAGAGACCGAAGACATTGCGCCGTTTTTGTTTGGGATCCTTGAGAAAGGCGACGGCTGTTAGATCGGAGAGGTGAATCTTGTGACGAAGTTTATCTTCATTTTGATCTTTGTAGATTGAGAGGTAGTTTGGTCTCAGGACGAGAAATACGGGTTTCCATGCCTGCGGAGAGTAGATGAGTAAATAAATGTACATATAAATCTGGCCGATGCAATCATACCTTTGTTTTCCTCGTTCGTTTCTGCAAATAACCACTCTTCAATACACGATCAAATTCGAAGCTTCCATTCTGGTTCACGGGAGAAAAGGTATCTAGAGCGAGATGCGAATTTCGAATGCGATTTGTAGAGGCAGACTGCGGTAATGTTGTGGGAGCTGGGGGTGATATCTGCAAAGCAGTGTCCTGTCCAGGGATTGCGCGTGGTTGACTTTGTTGTAGAGACGGTTGCTGGACTTCCGCCATGATGATTCCAGGCATGTATACTGTAAATAATTGAGTGTGCGATTTGGTGGTAGGGTTATGATTTGAAGGATTTCAATGTTATAGAGAAGAGGTTATGCTCGGAGTGTGATATTAAGTTGTTCAGGCCTGTCGTTTGTTATTGTAGATGTTGTAGGAAGAAGTGCTCAGGCTAGTTTTGAGAAAAAAGGCCCAATTCCTAGTGGAATCTTGAGAAAAATGTGCTGGTCTAGAGTTTTAGGATTGAAGTTTCGGCTCTGTTCAGCCACCTCGATTTTTTGGTTTGGAAGGGTGGATGATGTTTGTGATGTGGTTTCGTCTGGCTGTCTGGTTGTTGATAAAAAGATCAAAAGATCGTCACCGCTCTCTAAGATATGATGATGATGAGGTTAAAATAGACTGCATTATTCGAGGCAACAAGGTAATCTGAATGCAGGCAGTGTACGGAGTGTAATGTAATGTAATGAATGTAAGATACAGTGTAATGTGAGCTGGAATCTACTTGTTGTTAGGAGAATAAGAATGGTTTATATTTATTTACACAAAGAGCATAATCCATTCACACAACAACTCCTTTCTTTTCTTGTTGGTTGGTGGTTTTATATTATCATTATTAGTATTATTATTAACAGGTCTGGTCATTGACATCTGGACCTTTTCCCGATCATTCACCTCTGCATCTATGATGGTGAAACCGAACCCATCAAGGATTATGATGGGGGTAAATCTACAGTGTAGGAATTAATTATGGAACATTCTTTAATTTAAAGGATTGATTGGGCGAAGATCTTCCAAACATTGCTCTAACCGTTACAAGGGCGGTTTGGCCTTGATATCTGATCATTCATCTGATGAACGCCAAACTGGTTTCGAATCATTTGAGTTGAACTTGGTTAGATGGCTGAAATGATAGGCAGGAGAGCGAATTTGGATACAATGATACATACTCGAGTAGATGATAATTGGATCTACCTACCCAGTACCCATGATTCCCGTCCATCCCTCGAATATACCTATATATAGCTAATCAAAAGATGTTTCATCGCAATAAGAATATGTGTAAAATTAGAAAAAATCCAATCAATAGCCTCAAGATCTTACCTACCTCCCAAGATAAATGTACTCGGAGCTTTTTCGACGTCTGCTAAAGTCGTACATGGTAAAGCTTGATCGTAACAGTTTCCATCATGGTTCCACCTTCGTTTCCTACCCCCCATCCCCCTTTTTTGGAATTTGATTTGTTGTCGGTTCAAAACTTCAGAGTGAGTGTCCACTATCAATGCTTGTTACAGTAATTTGTTCCACCCTTGGGTACTGCCGGCATTCGAGTTTGTTTCCATGTCTCAGAGTATAAGTATATCATCATCGATAATATAATTACGACTTTGACATTGATGGAGATAATCTCAGAATTTCATCTCGAGAGTGGTACTTCAAATGAATTCTGATCCTAAGATCATCATTCATGAAAACTTTCTGCCTCTTGAAATGGATGTCATCATAGATAGAACCTGTTACGATTGTGGAAACTGTGTTGCATTTTTCACCCTGTAGCAACACAGATAGATATGTATGCATTGACTGTACGGGTAGCCTTGGGGATTTCCTTTGAGGTTGTGTGGAGATTTTATATCTCTCAGAAAATCACCAAGAGCGAATCAGACTGCTAGCCATCGCTAGTGGCCATGCATCACGTGCTCTGACTCACTGCACCACCATCCTCATGTTCATTGCACTTCTTAAAAGATTCTACCATCATATCATACATGCTTCAGTTTAGAGGACATACGGATCAAACATTGGAATCTTTGAATTCTTGACCATACAAGCTGAGTTTTGGACAATACATGGATATGACACCTTTCCTCAATTTCCATCGCCCACGCTTCTGCTGCAAGATATCTTCAAAGCTGTCCTCCAAATCACAGTCGATATGTCGTCGCAAGCTAGGTACAACACTTAGTTTTGTTGGCGATGGCTTTCCGAGAGATAATACTACCTCCAACCTCCTGTTCCCAGCGACACTGCACTTCTGAATTCCATTAGCACAATGCATCAACGACACAACAAAGTTATTGATACCTAACATACCTCATTGTAGCCTACTTTGTCAGAGAGTCACCAGCCCGTTTGACCGGTACGTTTTCGTAAGGTTGGGCGGATCTTGTTCGAAGAGCCGTTCAAGCATTCTCTCTTGGTTGAGGATTTCGATATGGACGCTCGATCGCTCGCTCGGTTCTGTAAAGAAGTATGGGGTAGCCAATGCATAATATCGTAACAAGTGTAATATTGTTCTCATCATTGGCTAAGGCCTTAAAAGTTTTTTGTACCCATCTGCAAAGGCTACCCATATCTTAATATGTGATCTTTCATACTTTGTCACAACACAGTATATGCAGTATTTCACCTTGCTGCGATGATCGTTTTCACCAGTTCAATTTTAACGGCGAGGCAAAATTTGCTGACTGCAAGTATATTAGTGACCTGCCAAAAATTACTAATATGGAAGATTGTATTGACTTACGTGGTGCGTGGTGAGGTATATACATCTCTGGTACCAGCGAGAGACGGTGGAAATGATGCTGAGGTGATCTTCAACCATGGCATTGTGGTAATCAAGAGCTCAGAATCCATTCAGTAAAGAATGAAACGGTATAAGAAGAACCTCGGGAGGAAGAAAAGTATGTATAGAGAAGAAATTAGTATTGAGATGAGTTGATGAAAAGGAAATGGAGGAAAACAAAGAAAGTGGGCAATCGTCTACTCTAATATAGTCAATAGTTAACATCTGCAGGAAAGAAGGATACACAGTGAAAGCTCTAACGGTAATGACGGCCACTGCTAGTCTTCTTCTTTCAATTCTGGGAAGTCGCGGCGATGGCTAAGTCGACAGACTGGGAAAGTGCTAAGCGAGATTCTAGGGGGGTGAAGGGGTGCATTTTGGATTCTTGGACGTGATAGGGAATCGGTAATTCACAGTATGAATGGTGATTGTATGTTAGCTAAGTTGAAAGAAGCAACACATTATGAAGTCGTGGCACTTCGTCTAAACATTCATTTCCAAGTGGATCAACTTGATTCAGCATTCTACAATTCTTTTGCCGGTTTGACATTCACGAAAGTAGTCGCTAAAGTTTCTATGGCACTTTTCATAGTCTTCCTCCTTGTCAAAATAGGATAAAAGTGGAAGCTACAAACAGTTCACGACATCATTCTTAGTCTAATCATTGCTCGAAATGTGTAAGGGCTTAGAGAAACACTCCTTCATCGCAACACCCCTATACTCTCTCCTACCTGTCGCACTCACTGCGGATATCAGCTCATCCCAAATATACCATGTTAGATTGTCTTAAGGGTAGGCATACTTGCACAATAGTTTCAAGTCCAGAAGTCCAGATTAATACGAAAAGCGTGATATCGTTACTAGCATGCCTATCTTGGATCGAATCCTAGCTGGCACAATCAATATATCTCTTTTTACTCTATACCTACTTACTTGGTCTTTCTTGCTGATACATCAACAGGTTATTACTCTCTTCTATTGGCGGTAAGAATGGCCGAAATCCCCTTGAAAGATACATAGATGATTGGCCAATGAAGACAAGACCAACAGAAACTTTATGAGATAGTTGAATGTGAAGTTGCATTTATGCGATGCTGGTACTTCTTAGCATCAAGTACTCGAGTATGTATACTTACGGATCGGTCCATTAGCGACTATCGTTTTCTTGTACGTGATGTGTAGGATGAATGCTATACCCCTTCTAATTCCCAACCTTAAAGAGTTATTTGATAGTCAAATCTGAATCCGGATATAGAAATGCATTCGGATCTGATGAGCTATGGTGATCAAATCTGAAATGGGATGTGGAACGGTATTTTGGATTCAAGCATGAAGGGCCATGTGATTGTCAAAACAGACTTAGGATATTAATAAGTCTTACAGAGCGTACCTACTACATGACTATATAGCTGTACTCGAATTTGGTGTGTGATTTAATTCGATATTCAAGCACGAAACCACAAAATGATCTATCCAATAGCATGTTGAAGTGATAATTGTCACCCTTTGCGATTTGGCGGGGTTCGGTGACGTTATGAAAGCTCGGAGGAGCGGCCGCGTCAGAAAATAATCCATTTTCTATCACACGTTCGAAGTTCAAATACTTTACAATATATCACACACTATCTCTCTCATCGAAACATATTGAATCATTATGAGTCATTTTTTTGTGCATTAAATATTCAGTCTATACCACCCAGAAAAGAGTCCGAAGCTCTGATAAATATAAAGACATCACTTCCAGTAAATATTCCGTATACAAAGTCGCCCCAAACAGGTAGACTCGACGGGAGATAGAAATACTCTTTGCGCATATAATTTTCACCTTCAATATTTCGTTCATATCAAACACATTTATTTTACATCCATATACAGAATGCCGATCGTCAATCCAGAAAAGCTAGTTGCTCTGCAACAAAATGCGCCAGATATTAGAAATGTAGGTCTTTGGCGGGGTAGATTTTATGTTAAGACTCTCAATGCTAACAACATTCTCTCAAGATATGTATATTAGCACATGTTGTGAGTACATATCCCGTTCATGTGTCTTTTTTCATTGCTGATATCTTTAGGATCATGGAAAAACTTCTCTCTCAGATGCCTTGATTGCGACCAATGGCATCATCTCCCCAAAACTCGCAGGTAAAATACGATACCTCGACTCTCGACCAGATGAACAAACGCGCGGAATTACTATGGAATCTTCTGCCATTTCGTTATACTTTTCCATGTTGAGACGAAATGCGCCAGATGCTACACCCGAAAAGAAGGAATACTTGATCAATTTGATAGATTCGCCAGGGCACATCGATTTCAGCAGTGAGGTATCAACTGCCTCGCGATTGTGCGATGGAGCTGTTGTTTTAGTGGATGCTGTAGAAGGAGTTTGCAGTCAGACTGTTACAGTTCTAAGGCAGACATGGGTAGAACATATGAAGCCTCTATTGGTAATCAATAAGATGGACAGACTCATTACAGAACTGAAAATGACACCCGCGGAAGCATATACACATTTGAGCAAATTATTGGAGCAAGTTAATGCGGTGCTCGGAAGTTTTTTCCAAGGTGAGAGAATGGAGGAAGATCTAAACTGGAGAGAAAAGGTCGACGAGAGAATTGCCGCTGCCGCTGCGAAAGAACAAGAAAAGACAGCAAATGACGGAAGCACCTCGATTGATACCGAAGCTATCAACGAATTCCAAGAAAAGGATGATGAGGATATTTACTTTGCGCCAGAGAAAAATAATGTCATATTTAGCAGTGCCATTGATGGATGGGCATTCACGGTTAGACAATTTGCCAGCTTATATGAGAAGAAGTTAGGAATCAAGAGAACTGCAATGGAGAAAGTCTTGTGGGGAGATTTCTATCTGGATCCAAAGACCAAAAAAGTCCTCGGGCCAAAGCATCTCAAGGGGCGAAATTTAAAACCATTATTTGTCCAATTAGTTTTGGAACAGGTATGGGCTGTTTATGCAGCAACAACGGGTGGTGATAATGGAAAGGGGTGCGTGGATTTCTATTTCTCCTTTAACCTGTTTATACATCCAATCTTATGCAATTTACTTCCCAATTCTAACTCTACTTCATTTAGTGATCCTGCCATGACAGAGAAAATAACAAAGTCATTAAATATTACTTTACCCCCACATGTTACACGTTCCCGCGATCCACGAGCTATTCTTACGACATTGTTCTCGGCATGGTTACCATTATCAACTGCTTTATTAGTTTCCGTCATTGAATCTCTACCCGCTCCTCCGGTCGCCCAAGAAGGGAGACTACCAGCACTTATTGACGAATCTCCTGGTGCATCGCATGTGGATCCTAAGGTTAGAGAAGCAATGATTAAATTCAAGACTTCAAAAGAAGAGCCAGTTGTAGCTTATGTAAGTAAGATGGTTTCGATACCAGAGAGCGAACTACCCGAGAATAAGCGACGAGGAGGTGCCCTGAGTCCCGAGGAAGCTCTGGAGATGGGTCGACGGAAGCGAGCAGAGATTGCAAGACAGCAGGCTTTGGAAGAAACCTCAACATCTGTTGATGGAGTATCTGATGCGCTTGGAGCAGTAAGCCTCGAAGAGCCCGCTGAAGAAGAGAAGAAAACAGATCCAGAACATCTGATAGGATTCGCACGAATTTATTCAGGGACTCTGTCTGTAGGGGATTCTGTTTATGTGCTACCGCCAAAGTTCTCACCTGCAAATCCACACAATAGTCCTGAACCACAAAAGGTCACAGTCACTGCTTTATACTTATTGATGGGTCGTGGATTAGAGCCACTTACTTCCGTTCCAGCAGGTGTTGTATTTGGTATTGGAGGGCTTGAAGGACATATCCTCAAATCCGGAACCCTCTGCAGTCAATTGGAGGGTAGTGTCAATCTCGCAGGAGTTAACATGGGCTCTCAACCTATCGTTCGTGTCGCTTTAGAGCCAGCTTGGCCTGGAGATCTCGACAAGATGATTCGAGGTCTCAAGTTACTCGTTCAAAGCGATCCTTGTGCTGAGTACGAACAATTCGCAAGCGGCGAACATGTTCTACTCACAGCAGGAGAATTGCATTTAGAGCGTTGTTTGACAGATCTTCGTGAAAGATTTGCTGGGTGCGATATTCAAGCAGGAGAGCCGATTGTACCATATCGAGAAACTATTGTCAAAGCCGAAGATATGAAACCTCCAGCAGACAAGGAGCTAGGAAGAGGTACCGTTGTATTGTCAACGACATCGAAGCAAATCACAATTAGGTTACGTGTAAGACCTCTTCCAGTTGAGGTCACCGAATTCCTGGGTAAAAATGCTGGAGCTATTAAGAGACTTTATTCCGATCGTCAAGCAGAGGAGAAGAGCAAGAAGACTGGTGATGACTCTATACACGAGTCAGCCGATCAGGAAGAGGTTGATGAAGTATTGGGTGGCGAGAAAGTTCTGTCATTGAATGAGTTCAAAGAAGAACTTCAAAAGACTTTCGAAGGGGTAAAAGGTCAAAAGGATATATGGGCTTCAGCAGTAGATCAAATTACTGCTTTCGGTCCACGAAGAACTGGACCCAATCTTCTAATTGATTCAACCGCAGAGGGAATTCTTGGCAAATTGTAAGTCCTTTCAACTCTCGATCATAAAGAGTACACTAACATTTTAAAGCCTCCGTGAAGACACCACTGCTGATTCTCAAGAATCAGCAACTCAAACCCCGGCTCTCCAAGCCCGTTCCTTTTCTGACAAGATTAGTTATGCTTTCCAACTCGCCACTGCCCAAGGACCTCTATGCAATGAACCTATCCAAGGTATCGCTGTTTTCCTCGAAGAGGTCACCATTGCTCCTTCCACCGACGAAGAATCATCCACTCGTGATAACTTTGGTAGATTGACTGGTGAAGTGATCAAAACGGTTCAACAAGCTATCAAACAAGGTTTCTTGGATTGGTCCCCGAGACTCATGCTTGCCATGTACTCTTGTGAAATCCAGGCTAGTAGTAAGTCATTCCAGTAAATCGTAATTCATCAAGACTTTAGAAGTAAATCAGATAGACTAACACAAGCAACAGCCGAAGTCCTCGGTCGCGTCTACGACGTGCTCACCCGTCGTCGCGGACACATTCTTTCCGAATCTCTCAAAGAAGGTACCCCCTTCTTTACCATCGTATCGCTTCTTCCCGTGGCCCTCTCCTTCGGTTTCTCAGATGAAATCCGCAAGAGAACATCTGGAGCAGCTAGTCCGCAGCTCATATTCCAAGGTTACGAGGTACTAGATGAAGATCCTTTCTGGACACCATTTACGGAGGATGATTTGGAGGATTTGGGAGAATTGGCGGATAAGGAGAATGTGGCGAAGAAATATATGGACGGGGTGAGGAAGAGGAAGGGATTGAGGGTTGAGGGCGAGAAATTGGTTAGGGATGCGGAGAAGCAGAAGACGTTGAAGAGATAGGGGGATTGTGGAGTTTAGTGAGGTAGATGGTGAGGAATCTTCGGAGGGAGGCATATGAGGTTATCTCTTTTTGTAAATCGTATATTAGATATATAGAATTAGTTTTCTGTTCTCGTTATGTTAAGAGATATACTTGTAGTTTACTCGTAAGCTAAGTGAGTACCTGCATGAGTAAGAATGTTCTCGTTGTTAATGCATGATATCATATTATTTTTGCCAAAAACGATGTGATGTGGAGGGGGGAATAACGGGAAGATTTTCCTCCCTTTTTTTGAGATTGTTACAATTTTTATTCGTCTTCAAGGGGAGTTTAAGTCATTTAGCTGCCGTTCTTCCCGAATAACCTACATAGCCAGCGCAGTAATAAATCCCCAACCAAACAATTCCTTCCCCACAACCAGAATACTATACAAATACCCTCTTTCCCACCCCCATCCTCACACTGCAACTTCTTCAATCTCTACATATCCTGATAATTCCACACACCCACAAGCCCACAGACCATCAGACGCATTGCCAGCGCCAGCGCATCACCAGGCATCCCAACCCGTTCCTGGACTCGCTTTTTGAGAAGTGATGTAAATTGTTCTTGGACGTTGGGATCGTAGGTGCTATGTTTGATAAATCGATACACCCAGAAGAAAAACCATTCTGCGCTGCGGTAATAATATGTAACGTGCAGATATGCGCGATGGAGAAGAATATCTCGTATCCAGTTGCGCGCTTTGGAGAGTTGGTCGCCCCGCTGATACTTGTGGAAGGTGGTGAGGACACTAAGACAGGAGATGGGATCGATGCGAGGACGTGTGTAATCGTAGTATATTTGGGGGATGTAGTGGTTAGCTTTCGTTTTTGGAGACTTTTTATCATGTGGAAAATGCTTGGGGTTTGCTAATATGGGATTCCGTCGGGATTTAGATATTCCAGCATGTTGTCAAGGATTGAGGTAATCGTGTCGTTGTTAGTTGGCATGACTTGCAGTGTCAAAGAGGTGGTATCGAGATCATTTGGCGGATTCATGTTGGTGAAGCTTGGCTTTTCTGGGATTTTTCTCTGCATGCTTTCTGTAGTATGTATGGTTATATATATACTTTGAGAATAACCATAACCTACCATTGTAATAATTCCATGTTGTTTGGTGTATGTAATCTGGTTTTTGTAGTACTATCAGATTCCTGTCTCGAAAGGATTAATACGCGTTTGATTCTTGGATTCAGCTAATGCGGGGAAGTCCAGAGCATGCTCATCAGCAGTAACATCCAGAATGAGCAATTGTATATAATTTTCCACGAGGGTAGTACCGCAATTGGTTGCGGGATGTCGGTGTTTCGCGTTGAGATTCAGGAAGGTATCTCCCCGGATCAATGGATCGTAGAGAGTGTTTTTCATTGTTCTGGAAAGCGCGGGTAGGGGTTTGTAGGGAATGGTACGCATCCCCAATGAGTACGCGGTGACTAGATTTCGCACGTCGTTATCTATGAGGATTGTTTTTCGGGGATCTCTTCTAGTAGCTTTAAGAACGTGCCGATATAATCCTAGATCCGGCTGACGAATGCTAATTGCGAGAGAAGTGAAAATCTCATCGAATATCGAGGATAATTCATCTCCCCATCGTTTATACAAGATGGTATGCTCCGGTATTGGAATTTTCCATATAGCAATGAGTTTCAGCGATCCATGCGTCTCTTCCGTCAATTAGTGAATCCAGGAAAGAACCGCTGTGTCGTATTTGAAAGCATCTCGAGCTTCAGAGATGACTGTAGCAATTGCGGATGGCGGGAGTCCAAATTTCTTTCCCAGATTCTCGTAGCACAGCGTTTCATCAAGCTCACCAGATTCATAACGCATCCAAGTAGATGTTGAAATCAAGCGTCGGAAGGTCGGTATGGAAGCTGTTTCTGTCGCTGCAGGTGCTTGAGGAGGGATCTTAATCAGTACATTCCCCAAGTCGACGACGATAGTATCGAAATCGGAAATCGGTATAGAACCCATGGTTGATTTTGTAGTAGTCGAAGAGTATAATCCCAGCTAGGTGGTGTTATCTTTGAACCATCATCTTCTTCCAATGCAGTTTTATACGAAATATGGCAGAGATGATTCAGGAACTATTCTTCTACTGTGTCACTGATAGTGACAAAATTCGACTTTTGTGTATATCGTGGGCTTTAGCCGCATATTTTAGCATTTCAGTACAGATCGTGACTTTTCATTGCAAATCGCATAATACCACAATCGCATGAATCATGATCGTATTTTACCCTTTCGTGTGAAGGGGGCTCGAAGGGGGGTTGCTAATCTATATGTATTATCATCCCATTTTACACACGAAGTGCATACATAGCATCTCTCACCCTAGAATGAGATAAAACGGGATTGATGTATTACGCGTTCCAATAACACCTTCCTATAAGGTATACCTAGTATTTTTAACATGTGATCGACAATGAAATGTTATGATATGTACTAAATCACTAAAAAGCCAAAATTTGTTACCATTTGTCTCAAAACTCCATATGTGCTATTAAGTATGTTGCTAGTATTTCTTTGTATCAAAGTGATCTATCCATATCGCAACTCATTCGGCTCGGGAGTGAAGAGTTCTGCTGACCATCCAAGTATGCGTGGTCACTTTTACCACTTGATCTCCAGTAGAAGTGAGGTTGATCACAATCATACCACTCGCCACAGTATTCAAGGGTTCATATGCTAGAAAATTGAAATCCGATAGCTATCGCCAAGTCTCAAGCTGACGTAGTTGTGAAGCAGAACAATCTCCTTTGTGTATCTCAAGTTTGCCTCATAATTCAATCCCATTCGATATAACAATCATGCACTTTCCAATTAACATTCATGCCAGCTGATTCATGCACCGTTCTCAACAAAACCCCACTCTTGACCATTCAGTGTTAACCATTCGGTCTCACCCTTGGTTATCTTGACCCTATCCAAGCAGTTCGGGAAGATCAAATTCGAAGAGGCGGTAACGAGGTAACCAATTCGTCGCAGTATACCCTTCATTATAACTGTTGACCACCTTGAACATTTCCGGTTCTGAGAAAAACAGTAATCTCAATCTCCTAATACATTCCACCAAACTAGCAGCTGTGTCTTCTAAAGCTTTGTGAAGAGTGACACCACGCGCCACAGAATAGTTATACACATAATTATTTCGTTCCGTAGAAACCACCGATTCCTTGTAGAATAAAAATACATCATTCAAGAATGCGTTAACTCGAGGAGATCAGGAGTAGCCTGAATATAGCGTTGCAGACATGTTGCTTCAGGGAAAGGGTTTTCGGGAAATAGATACTTGGCATAAGTTCCCCCGAACCCAGCCTTTAAGCGAAGATAGACAGGGAAGTTGGGGGCATGTGAGTTACAATGAAGTTTTTCCCCAATCTCACACTCAAAAACGGCCATAGCGATGAACTCGAAGGTACAACTTTATATAAAATCCGATGCGAAAGGCCCATGATAGGCTACAATTTGGGACAAAACCTTTGTCAAGCCGTCCAAGGCAGGCCCGTTAGATATTCCTGCCAGGAGATTCCGACGAGAAACTCGCAAGTTGGGCAGGAGGTCCTGGGCGCAGTCATCGATAACGTAGAAGTAACCAGTGCATATGGCTATAAGCTTTCGCAGCTCCTTCTTGTGCCATGGATAGACCAGGTGTACAGTTTGCACGCTGAGTTTGGCGATCTGGGGAATTTTCTGGAGGTCAAGGTGCTGATCATGTACTACCTCCAGTAAATGCTCGAGGACGAAGCTCTCTAACTCTACATCTTGAAGCATCACGAGAGGTTTGTATGATATGTCTTGTGGAAGCCTTTGTACGATACTTTCAAATTGAGCTTTAGTCACAGTGCCCCGATCAAGCGATGCTTCGTTGAGTGTGGATGTGGCCGCCACCTTTCATGTCGGGAGTTTTAATTATGGATAGTAGAAAGTGGAATGAAAACAAGGTTCAAACTGATCTTTGTAGAGATCGATCGAAGAAAGTAGAAACCATTTCACTTTAAGAGTAACAAATTTACGAGACCATCCATCCTCAACAGCGATAGTTTGCTTGTAAGGTTGTAAGCCTTGACGCTTTACCACAATCTATACTACACATCATATGATGCGTAGAAAGCAGTGTATCATGAATTGTGCATTGTGTATATATTACCAATACGTGGCAAGCAAATACGATGTGATCACTATCAGACTGCTGTGAATGGTTGTGTAGGATCCAAGCTAGTGTAATATAAAAAATCAGGATACCGATTGCTACTAGGCATGCAAGGTGCAAGGAATCCAGGATCTAATCTTTCAGGACTTGACGGCTGTGAGAATTGAACTGACGTGATACCCGACTCGTTTCCGCGCCACTAGGCGGCTATCCAGCCAACATATGTCATATGATCATTGAGTGAAAAGCAAAGAGCATTGTGGTTGTTGGATCGAAGAGCCTAGCATTCAGATTACTCCAGATGGCCCAGCAAGTTTTTTCTTGGTGTGAGGTCTAAATTGTCCAATAAATCGAAAGCGCTGTCAGGCTGATCGCGTCGGTGTTTGAATAGACGTCCTTAGACCTGCTGAAAACGGGATTTGCAACTCGGCCTTAAAAACTCTGATAATAACGTGGTTCTAATGGCAGCTTGTTATCTCACTATGTAGTGTGCGCCTTATCTTATCCAATATGTACGTTTATGTATTTTTTGTTTCCCGTCTAATCCATTTCGACGTATCCATTGTTCATTTTTCAATCGAAGAAACCTTTCTACGCACCTCATAAAGGCGGCAAGCCTTCCCTACAAATCGGACATTGCAAACGATACTTCATCCAACCCACCAAACACTGGGTATGGAAAACATGTCTACAAGGCGTTACCATATAACTCCTCCTATCCCATGCCCCCAACACACCCTTCGCACCCTCTTCCTCTCCTATCCCCACGACCGGAACCTCAAGAATCTGCATACATATTGCACAATCCACTGTTCTAATCCCCGCTTTACTATTATCCCTCTCATCCGCACTCATATCTGTTTCCTCAAACCCTGGAGTCGTAGGAGAGCCCAAGGGGACCTTTACAAGACCAATTGGTAGACCTCCAGACTCAACATTATCTTCTCGCAGTACCGGATGATAGTCCCAGCCCTCCTTGTACCATCCAAATCGTTTTGGAATTGCCCATCTGGGACCAAGAACCTCTTGACTGTACAGTACCACAAGCTGACACCAGACCCATCCTGTTAAAACCATCATTGCCGTCCAGCTACTCTCACTAAAGAGAAAATTGTCCTCATAGAGGAAAAAATAAGCAAAAGGAGATAACCTTAGCAAGCTTTGTACTATGACGAAACGCCAAAGAAGTGCTTTACGACAATTACGTGTGATGTTGCGTTTAATCTGAGGAATCCAGAGGGACATGTAAGTGAAGGAGCAAAGGTAGACATATGCTGTGCGAATAGGGACAGGCCAGGTGGTGGACATGATGGAAAGGAGAAGTATCACGGTTAGGAGGAGAATGAACTGGCCATAGTAGGGAGTTATATCGGAGGTCACTCTCGATTGTTGAACGATAGCTGGAGTTCCCGTTGGACGAGGTACTGCGAATGTCGCATTGACATTTTCAGCTATCTCTGCGTCAACGTCTTGATCCGAGGGGACTATGATGGGAACATTTTGAGATGTGTTTCGAGGTGCAGCCTGAGTTGAAGAAGCGATAGGTAAGGGTAAAGTATCTACACCCGCTGCCGTGATGACCGGTGCTGCTCGCACAGCTGCAGGTGGATTTCTAGCTTGCAGTTCTGCCAAAGCAGCCGCTTGTGCTCTCTCTTGCTCCAATCGTTCAGGTTCTTGAACTCCATAAATATTTACGATAAAGCGAACTCCAAGTGCCACAGACATCAAGCCAGCAAATGATGTCAACAACGCAGATGGAAATATACTAGATAATGTAGCGCTCGCCAGTGACATTGTAAAGAACAACAGTCCATCTGCTAAAAGCATCATAGCAACAGTATGGATGCTAACACGACCCACAGTTGATGGTGTAGAAGCCTCTTTACATTGATCCTTCAGAATCAATGTTTGTCCGAGAGCTACCGCAGCAAATACCAATAACCAAGAACGAATAGTTTCTAACCAAACCTCTTGCTTCAAACCAGTAAGGTGTTCTCCATCCACAGGAGCGAACTCTGGCGGACCTTTAGATTCGAGCATAAATCCACAATCAGGCGAGAAGATTATTGTAGATAGTTGTAATTTCGGCACCTGGGGAATAGGAGCACCATTTGGGAATCGAAGTTCGTTTTCGAGTTCTTGGACAAAACTGTGCGCTTTAGGTGATCGATCATCGTATTCGAGGCCATTAAACTTCAAAGGTAGTACTTGAGCAAACAAGATGTATTCGCAATGAGGTGTTGGTAACCCGTCAATTTGGCCCGAATTTGGTTCAAGAAGACTTTTCGGATTTTCCTTCGCAGATTCCTCAAGTTTTTGTAGTCTGCGGTAACAAATTTTCTTCATAATCTCTGCACTGCTTGTGAAATGGTCCTCATTGGTGGCGAAATGGGGAAGACCAAAAGCTCCTGCGAACTTATCACTGGTAGTTGTTAGAAGAATTCCTCCTTCATTTGGCCAATGTACACCATGCATCCTCATTTCATGTCCATCTCCACTACTGCTCTCATCTTGAACTGTTAATGTGGCCGCGATCTCCCTTACAAGTATATCTGTACCCGGATTTGCGCCAATTCCAAGATCTACCCTCTCAATCCCATCAGATATGTCCCTTTTCTCAATCCTTGCTTCCCTTTTCGAAGTTTCTTCTTCGGTCTTCGCCGAACTTTCACCTTCAATTACATGTTCCTTAGTCACCTGTACAATCATCTCCTCTACCGCAGCCTCATCCAACCTCAGCATAACTTTCCCATCCCTTCCCGTCACATTCCTTGTCCACAGCTCCTCATCTGTAAGAGCCCAAGCGACCCCCGGCGTAATA